AGAGAAGAAAAAACCACTGTAATAGAAATCAGTAGCCATAGCTTCACAGGGACAAGCTATTATTACAATCTGAGATTAATTTTTTAGAAATGTGAAAAGTATTTATACTTATTAAGTGTTTCCATTTTCACAAGTTATACGGAGTATTTTTCATCATTACATGTATACACAGAATAAATCAAAGATGAACACTAGCCTTCAAATAAGATCTATCCAGAAATAAAAATACTCTTCTAGAGATACTATCCATGAATGGGGCTCTTGAAAATGGAAATGCCATTAAATACAGCTGATATCTGTCTAAGAACAGAGAGAGCTCTAATGAATATATTTGCATATATATGGAGATCATTTTTATGGAATAGAGTGGTTATCTACTTTCCTGGTGAGAGTAGAAAGCCACAGATTCTAGACTTTTTATAAGAGCCTACTGTTTTCTCCTGTTATTCTGACATTATTCATAAACAGTGCTCACTTGTTGAATTGCAATTCAATATTAAGAAATGTTGTCCATAGATTCCCAACGGTTTGTGTATCTTTGATAGCATGGACTTCTTTGGTGTGTCTTTGGCGAGCAGGCGTTTTATGCACACTTTGAAATGTATGCAACCTCCCCGAGAGCAACCATGACCACAACGCTGCTCTTCTCTGTTAAGAGCACTTTAGATCACGGCAGCCTTTCTGTCTCTACACAGAAAGCCAGGTCCACACACTAATTGAACATTTGTCATAAAAACAGTCTTGTTTTGAAACTTTAAAGGGCCTCTGTGCCCAGGGATTAACTGTCTGGAAAAATGCATTTTAAACATTCTGAGTACAGGCAATCGAAATGCCATTCTACCTCAAATAGACAAGGTGGCTCCAATGAGTCCCCGATGATCCCCGCACACCTTCAGGTCTACCTAAGAAACTCATTTTAACTTCAGTTAAAAGTGCCTAGCTGTGTTTGATGTCAGAGTTTGCTCCAGAATGTTGTTCTTACTTCTGATGGGCTCAGTGTTGCTTCAAAAGCAACTTCAACTTAAGAATCTGCTTTAAGTGTGTCATCAAGCACCAAGAAACATGTGATTTGTTTTTGTTCTTTTCCATCAGGAAGCTGACAGCTGGGAAATTATAGAAGGGCTGAAAATAGGCCAAACCAATGTCCAGAAACCAGACAAACATGAAGGCTTTATGCTGAAGAAAAGAAAATGGCCTCTAAAAGGCTGGCACAAGGTAATGTGTATCATATTCAGGTTCAGATCATCTTCATAAATAGAGAGGATCTTATTTGCTATCAAGAGGTGGGAAACAGAGTATGGTTGTATGTGTAAAAATCAGTTTGCAAGGCCTTATTTTAACCATATGAGTTGCAATCTATTATGCCCACAATCTGAGGCAGTCTGAGATCTGTAATATATGTATGTATATACAGGGCAGAAATATTTACATGCTATTTAAAATCCAGTTTGTACATACTGTTTTCTATTCTGTTTTTTTCATTTAAATTAATATGGATATCTTCTTATTAAATATTCTTCTAAGTGAGATATTTTAAATGCAAGAATGTATTCCACTGGATGGATTTATATTATATGTCCCACCATTATTGGACCAATGCTGTATTGCTGGATCTGTAGGACATGTCTAATTTTTTACTGTCATGATGTTGTGATGAACAAACATCCTTATACATGAATTTCTGTTTAGTCCCTTGGGATAAATTCCTAGAATTATTGTTACCAGTGCAAACTAGAGTTGGAAAATCACTGATCCTCTAAGTTTGCTTATTACCCTTCAAAGTGCATAGTTTATTCCTCTCTCTCCTCCCAATGTCCTTGTTCCATCTCCCAGTTTTAATTATGGTGAAAATATTTCACTGTGTTGTTGCCATTACCTGAGTAGCAAGAATTCAGTGATGCTAAGGAGGAGAAAGTTGTCTTCCATTTTCAGTTTAAACTCTTTAATAGGCCACCGGATATCTTCTCTGAAATCACTGGAAAAACGTATCCATCTATTTGCTGCCTCTGCCAATGGAATTTAGCTCAGGGCAAATGGATTTTTTTTTTTTTTTTTGAGACAGAGTCTCACTCTATTGCCCGGGCTAGAGTGCCATGGCGTCAGCCTAGCTCACAGCATCCTCAAACTCCTGGGCTTAAGTGATCCTCCTGCCTCAGCCTCCTGAGTAGCTGGGACTACAGGCATGCACCGCCATGCCCGGCTAATTTTTTCTATATATATTTTTAATTGTCCAACTAATTTCTTTCTATTTTTAGTAGAGATGGGGTGTCGCTCTTGCTCAGGCTGGTCTTGAACTCTTGCTCAAACGATTCACCTGCCTCGGCCTCCCAGAGTGCTAGGATTACAGGCGTGAGCCAACGCGCCTGGCCTGGGCAAATGGATTTGTTGGCTCAAATGGCCAGTGCTGGCTGTCCATTGCCTCAAAGAACGAAGGTTGTATGAATTATAACATAATTTTTGTGTTTTAAGGAAAAGACTTAAAAATGAACATATGGGAAATGTTGCCTCAATCCCCTGTCTCTGAAAGTGGAATAAAAATAGGCTGCTGGCTAATGTACCCTCTTTCTTGTCAGAAACTGTTACCCCTGAACCCACAATACTATCCCAGTGCCAAGGATCTGTGCCCACCATTGTTCTTCCTTGGGTTTTGGCCAACTGCCCATACTCCTTTCTAAGATCACCTTTGCCTCTCATTTTGATCTTACCACTTTGCATTTCCTCAAATTGATGGTCTTGCTAATCTCTTTCCCCATGACATCCTGCAGGTTATCCCTGCTAAAATTCTTTGATAGATAGAAATGGGAAAATAGGAAAAAGAGGTCAGAGAAACAAATTTTATATGAATTGCTAACTTTAATTTAGCACTTTCAGTCTATGTTTCAGCAAAACTGGCTTTGGTTGAACAGCAACTTTCTTCTAGACCGTGACCTTGAACATTTTGCTACATAAATAATAGGAGGGTCTCCCTTGCATTGCCTTTTTTCTTGATCTCTAATACCACCATATAGTTATTCAAGTGTCAGTCCTTTTGATTACCCAAGTCAAGGGCAATTGAGGAAGCAAGTGTTTTTCAATTGTAGAGATTCTTTCTCCCCATGCCTACTTACTGTCCCCCAGCACCTGTAACAAAAGGGATACAGTGGCCTTCTGTGAGTTCTATGCAGGAGTGCCAAGGCCTGACTGCTGGCCACCTCAGCAGCTAAGAGGTCCAGAATCACATAGAAACTTTCCAGCAGAGTAATTTTCCAGCAACAGAAAGAATCCCTGCATCTGTAGAACTAGAGGAGGGCCCTGGACCCATTGTTTGATTGGGTCCTGGGGGCTGTTATCTTGTGAATTGCCCATGGAAGGGAAATCGACAGCAGAGAGTTCCTGAGTGTTTGTGGAGCAAAAATGGCCTCATCCATTCTGATTGGACCAGGAGCATCTTGGAGGGGACAGGAATTGCTAAAAACCTCTTTCTCTCTCTCTTTTTTTTTTTTTTACCCTTAATGTAGTTCAGAAATAATTTTTAATTCCCTTTACTAACACTAGAATGCAAGCATTTTGCTAAGTACAGATACAAGCATATTGCTAAGGCCAATTAAACTTTCCAGGTAATTCATTATTCATAGATCCAGTCCACTGGCTTCTGTAATGAGCATTTTCAGGAATTATCCATGGTATTCAGGGGAAATTCAGAAGTTTACCTCCATGGTGAAAAATTCCCTATAGAATTGTATAGAGCTCCTCACGGAATCACTGTGACCTAACCCAGATTGTTCTCATTTCTCACTTTCAAAAACATCCCCATGTGGCTCATTCAGAAGGTCTTAGCTGCAGGTCCTGAAATTCCTTCCCTCTTAAGAAAAATCATGGTGAAAAACTGCATCCTCATTGTATTATGTTTAAAAGAACCCTGGGACTAGAGTCTGGTCTCCTTACCATTTAATGTGACTGACCATGGCCAGATGCACTGAATCCAGATGCATTAAAATAATCCAATATATTAACTAATAGTGGTCAAGCAATGTTAGACCCGCACTTGTGAATATTTTATATAATTCAAAATGCAGACACTAACTGAGGGGTGTTTGGTTCTTGCAGCGTTTTTTTGTCCTGGATAATGGAATGTTAAAGTATTCAAAGGCACCACTTGATGTAAGTAGCACACAGGACGTGTTTCAAAGATTGATTTAGAATTCTGCTTGAAGTGAGTAAACACTGTAATTGTACAAGCCTTATGCCGCAGTTATCAGCTTTGTGCATGTCTGTGCCAGTAAGATTTCACAAACTACCAAATTTCCATGTTCTGTAGGTGTGTTTTATGCTTATACTCACAATAACATAAAATTTCAAACTAGTGCATGAAGATTTAACTGTTTTGATGTATGTTAATAAAAACAGAAGCTGAAATCTAAAAAGTGACACAGTAAAAATCACCCTTTCTCTCTTGGAGAGAAAATGCAAATGGGCTCTTTTCTGCATCTCTCAGTAAATTCTGCTTTATGTGTGCTTTTTTGAGATTTAAAGCAATCTTCGTTCTTGTCAATGTCCTTTTAAAGCTATTGTATGAACTCATTTCTATTAATACTTCCCACATCCTTTTATCTTGGGATTCCCAACTCACTAAAATTATTCCAAATCATTTTTCTTTAGTATACAAAGTAGTAGTTTGCATGCAAAACTGGAAAATTCCTTTCTTCTCATCATTGTGATATACGAAAAAATAAAAGAGGGCTCAGATTTCGGTTTTGTCCCCATCTCTGCCATTGATCCAGCTGTGTCCTTGATCAGAAGAGCAGCCGGAAGGAAAAGCTGGCTGCCCCCTGCTCTCTGGTCCCAGCTGTCCAGTTCTGCCCCAGCAGCTGTCTTCCAGCTGATTGCTTGGGATGTTCTGGGGTATAGGTCAAAGACTGACCTCAGTTATTTTAGAAACCACCAAAGATGTCTGTTTTGGGGGATATTAACTGTGCAATTGAGAATTATGAAGAGTTGGCATTACCTTTTATGCCAAAAACAGAAACAGGAATAAGATTAATAGTCTTACTTATTGAAATCGGTGTGAAATCACTGCAACTTCAACTATCCTCCGTTTAAGAACCTTAACTTTTTCTCTTTGTTAAAGAGGTATAGTATTCCACTTCCCATAGATCAGTTAAAGATTACCTTGAGTTCACTTAAATTCAATACAGAAACACATCAAATTATGTATCCTTCCAGCCTATTTACTAGTCTTTTGATTTCAGATTCAAAAAGGGAAGGTCCATGGGAGCATAGATGTTGGACTCTCGGTCATGTCAATTAAAAAGAAAGCTCGAAGAATAGACCTGGACACAGAAGAGCACATCTATCATTTGAAGGTGAAATCGCTTTTCAACAGTTTTTCTGCCATTATGAGGGAATACCATTTGCCTATACCAGTGCCTACACCAGTGGTAGACAAGAGATTGGTTTCACAGTTACCTTCTCCTCTTGCTCATTGTATTAGGTGAAATCCCAGGACTGGTTTGATGCATGGGTCTCCAAACTGCGCCATCATCGGTTGTATCGTCAGAATGAAATTGTAAGATCACCAAGAGATGCCAGTTTTCACATATTTCCTTCAACCTCCACAGCTGAATCCTCCCCAGCTGCTAATGTTTCTGTTGTGGATGGAAAGGTATGACTTTGTCCTATAAAGCCTGGAAATTGCTTAGAAAAGTATGCAAATGCACAACTGAGTCTCATTTGGGAAAACCAAAAAGAGAAGGTTAGCTTTGTAAACTGCTGCTCGGAAGACAACAGTGACATTGACATCAAAGGTAATCACAAGTGTAGATTAGGCGGTGACCTCTTGTAGATCACCAAGAGAACTGGAAGTTATTTTTCCTTTCTATGAATGGACTACATCCTACTTTTATGTGATTTTGTAAACGTATTAGGAAGTAAAGTAAACATTTGTTTAATCAGCACCCAGAAATCAGGTGCCTTCCTGGATGATAATAAGAAGACCCCAAAGTCTTGAAAATGAAACTTGCTTTCTTGCCTTGAGCTGTAATATATCCATGACCCAAAGAAAAGCTATTAAACTTCCCCATGAAGTTAATGCAAATAAGCTTGAAAATGTGACAATAATGTAAGTAGTAGCCTATCTGTGTGGCCAGCCACCGTGGTAAGCACTTCACACTCATTCATCTCTAATCTTTCACATAGCCGAAGTTCAGAGACAGTAAAGAATTTTTCCAGAAGTGACATAGCCCTTAAACGGTTGGGCCTGGATCTGAACCCACATCTCTGTTTCCAACATCAGTGCCCTTTCCATGATGATACCACATACCAGACTAAGGGAGACTGAAGTTGTTCTTTCGGCTGAAACAAGAGTTCATTTTCTATGTTGATGAAAAGCTGGAGGTGTTGCTTGTTAAAGAGTTGAGGTTAAGACAACAGACATGGAAACATCTGTTTCTGCCTTTGATTCAATAATTAAGTTTCCTGGAACACAGCCACACTGCACGGCCCACGGGTGCTGCAGCTTCACATTTGGCACCTGCAGCTGAGGACAGGGACAGCTGCGAGGAAGCTGGCTGCCACAATAAGCTGGGTTCAAGAACATACTAGTGGAGATTCTGCTTTTCTCTATTTGCTCACGCAGGACTGTCTGTCAGACATAGATCCATGTTTCCATTGCAAAGCGTTGAAAAACCTCATGGAATAACTGTAGGACTAAGCAAATCAGATTAAGTGAAACATTACTGTATTCAGCTGTTGTTATTTCACTGGAAATTACTTAAGTAATTTTTGTTAAATCTCATTAATTATATTCAACAGGCCTCTCAAACCTCACATTATTTCATTCTGGTTGCAGCCTTGCCAAGGACTATTTAATTATCTTTCTCCTAGAAATAGGGTGTTGGATTAATCCTAATACCAACCAGTTCTGAAGTAAAAGGAAATCAACCAGTAGGTCAGGCTTAGGAAGGTTGGAACTTAGAGACGCCCAAGATAGTGCCCGAGTTTCTCTGGGCCTTCCTGTATTCTCACCACGGGGTAGACCGAATCCCAGGTATGGTCCAAATTAAATGAGGAATGAATTCCAAATGGATCTTTAAAAAATATAAACTTGTAATTGTTTGGTTCTTCCAACATCTGCCTATATCATTGGCACAGAGTATTGATAAAAATTATATTCATTCCATCCCTTGTTTTATGTATTAAATAACATGGGTGGTATCTGACGGTGGAAGACTAAAACCAAATCCTCCCCACTGCTGGCCTTGGAATAAGAAAGCTCTTCAACTCTGGTTTTCATAACAGATCTATTGCTCTCGTTACAAATGACACACCTCTAAGATCTACTCAGTGAAAGATTTCCATTACATTTATCAAAATGCAGTATAGAGGGGAAAGAGCTTTTTATCGTTGTGCTTGCCTTCTACGTATCAAGTTATGAGACTCCTGAATGTTAATTGGTTTGTGGCCCTGTGTGGGTAATAAATAAGTCTGGGTTTGTGAAGCATGCACATCATTCACTTCATAATGATTTAGAGGAGACACAATCAGTTGTAATTGAATATTAAAGTCAACTATGGAGTTTTCAAGTTATTTCCGTTTCTTGGGAAATAAGTTTCTGCTTTTATCACTGAGTGTTTCTTGCACTCACCTTCGTATCTATGTACTTAATATAACTTTAATTTATTTCACATGAAATCTCTCTAATGGAAAGTCTATGAGCTATAGATAATAACTTGCCAAGACTGCCTTTTTATACATTATAATTTTCAATATGCATTCAAAGCGCAAGGTGGCTTGCTAGTGGGTAATATATTTGGGAATCACGTGTTGAGCAGACCTTGAGCTGATTGTAAGAGTACAGAGACCTTTTGGTGCTCGTGAGGATTAGATAACAACACACTTGGATGTTGACTGATGGAGATAATAGTTCAGTGAGAGTGTTGTTAATGTTTATGAATTTTGCCTTCACTGAGCACATATTACATTTAGCCAGGAGGCTTCTTCCATATTTTGAGTGTGCCCTTTCTTCCTTTGTTTCTTAATGTCGCTTCGAGGATGCTTATGTTTTTAAAAAATCATTTAAATGTACTGTTTTTGCTTCATAACCGTACACTTCCTCTCTGTTTCTGTTCACTGTAGATGCAACCAAACAGCTTTCCGTGGCAGTCCCCTCTACCATGCAGCAACAGCCTCCCTGCAACCTGCACAACAGGCCAGAGCAAGGTGGCAGCCTGGTTACAGGACTCGGAAGAGATGGACAGGTGTGCGGAAGGTTAGTTCTTGCCCAGTATGAGCTATGAGAATAAGCCAAAACAGAACAAAAAAAACTAAAGAGGTGAATTGTGGGCGTTGCTCTCTCCCCCTGACCCTTTTGATAACGTTGACTTTTCCTTGCACACCGGATCCTTCTCCACGTCATGACTCGGGCTTCTGACCTGCCACTTCCACCCACTTCAACCTTCTTTCCTCACCCCTTCACCAGTTCCCTCTGGCTTCCTCACTTCCCACCCCCAGACCCTGGGGCAGTCACACAGAGGAGTGGCTCCCAAGGAGAGCCCCCCACACACGCTCCCACACTCTCTACTCTGCCCTCCTCCCTAGGCTACTCCCACGGCTGCCTTCTCTGCTACTCTGTCTTGCCCGTGGAGCAGGTGTACGTTTCCTGCCAACCCAGCAATAAATGGCAAAATTCCAATGTGCTGTACCTTATATCCATGGTTACCTGTTAGTGGTGTTCCACTATGGATCAATTACTAAATATTCTGAACCAATACGTGATTCCCTCTCTCTGCCACCTCTGGGCCTCTGAATCTCTTCTTACCTCCCCCTCCTTGTAATCAGCCAGAGTGCATGGTCCAGACTTGATCCACAGGCCGTTCCCATTCTATGAGACAGTTTTCATTTGACCTTTAAAACTGAGAAAAACAGGGGCAATGTAGAGAGTATTTAATAAGGTTCAATGTGATTTAATTTTTGAAATGATCTTATAGATGATGTTGGGCCTACTTTTTAAAAATTATTTTCTTTTACAAAATTATAATAAAAGTAGATGTTAGATAAGTTAAATTTGTCTGTTAGTCCCCCAACCAAAACAATTTTTTTTATCTCTACCAGTGTGTGAACTCAGTCTACAGCATTTTTATCAGTCCTCTGATAAAAGGACATCCCAAACTAGAGCTTTATGTGTAAATATGACTTACAAGGGATCTCATACTCACAAATTACATCCAGCTGACATTCCATTAAAAAGGTTTTACATAGATATAGTCACAAAACACTTGGACTCTAATTTGAGTATATTAACTTCACATTGGGGAAAGAAGACAAGCCTCACTTACCTAAACTCTTGGCTTCAGCAGTGATTCTAGACATTTCTGCCTCTCCTCTAACTCCTGCCCCCTCACACTTACTCAAGGCGTTTAACCTGGCTGCCTGTATGGCCAAAAAGATTGAGTCCATCCACTGGGACAATATCCATGTATCTGACCAAAATGAATAGACATTGCCTTTGATGCAGGGAGCCCTGGGCTGGTGGAGACACACACCTGTCTCTCCCTGTCTGTTCAGAGTACTGTGTGGTCCGTCCCTGTGCCCTCGTTCCGGGCCTGTGGGGATCCTCGTCCTCCTCACCCTGACTGCTCTACCTGTGTCCTCCACCTGACTTGCTGTTCTCCTTCAGGATTTAGTGCAATAACTATCTCCTCTCCTTGACTGTAACTTCACCCAAATTCCAGATAACCATCTTATAAACCATTTTAGAGGAGCAAGTAGACAGGTTCCTAAAGGGAAAACCACAAGACTGCTGAAACCCCCTTGACTGTGCTTCCCTGGTGACAAAGGCTGTCAGAGCAGGAAGGTGATCATGCACAATTTGACGGGGATTTTATTTGTTTTAATTAATTTATTTTTTTAAGAGACCAGGCTGGGGTGCAGTGGCATAATCATAGTTCACTGCAGCCTTGAACTCCTGGACTCAAGCAATCCTCCTGCCTCAGCCTCCTGAGTAGCTGGGACTACAGGTGTGCACCACCACTCCTAGTTAATTTATTTATTTATTTATTTATTTATTTTTTGAGACAGAGTCTCACTCTGTTGCCCGGGCTAGAGTGAGTGCCGTGGTGTCATCCTAGCTCATAGCAACCTCAAACTCCTGGGCTCAAGCGATCCTCCTGCCTCAGCCTCCCGGGTAGCTGGGACCACAGGCATGTGCCACCATGCCCGGCTAATTTTTTCTATGTATTTTTAGTTGTCCAATTAATTTCTTTCTAATTTTAGTTGAGACGGGGTCTTGCTCTTGCTCAGGCTGGTTTCAAACTCCTGAGCTCAAACAATCCGCCCGCCTCGGCCTCCCAGAGAGCTAGGATTACAGGCGTGAGCCACCGCGCCCGGCCTAATTTTTTTATTTTTTGTAGAGACGGGGTCTTGCTGTATAACCAGGCTGTTCCCAAACTCCTAGGCTCAAGGGATTGTCCCACCTCAGCCTCCCAAAGTGCTGGGATTACAGGCATGAGCCACCATGCCAAGCCTTAACTGGGATTTTAATGGCTTCAACATTAATAGCTGTTAATTTGTAAGAGTAGGCTTTGAAATCATCTCATAATCGATGGTTTTATGATTCTAAACCAGAGAAGGGGCTGTTTTGTTTCACTTGCCAGCATCGTCATCATATAAACATGGATCTGCCTAACTGTATTTGCCATAATTTGGGTTGACCCTTTTATTAGCATCACTACCACTCCCTGCCCAAGTCTAACATATTTTTATTTCTGATTTTTATTAGATCTTGCACACTGCCAGTCAAACCTCGTGGAACTTAGCAAACTCCTACAAAATCTGGAAATTCTTCAGAGAACTCAGTCAGCACCTAACTTTACTGACATGCAGGTAAACATTACTGCTGCTGCTGAAAGGATTTAGGGTATTAATTTATAATCTTTACTGGATTATTCTGTGAATATATAAGGTAATATTTAAAGGGAAATGACTATAATCCAGGCTAGTTTATATTCTGGAGTTATTCTTACTCTTTGAATCTTGGTGTCGTGTTAATTAAGATGACTTTTTAGATAATATTTTACATTTAAATACAGACTAACTGGAAGACATACATGCAGTATCTGAATCATTCTTCCATGTTTATGTTTCATTAGAAATGATAACTTCGAAGATATAATTTAGGTACTCTCAGAATTATTACCATCTTTTCCTATAGAAAACAATGCTAAACAATTCTAATCCTGTTTTCATTTTTTATATCAGAAAAAAATATTTTATAATTAAGTTCTTGGCTCTGCTTTTAATGTCCACTACACATCTGATATGCCTTTCTCTCCTGGCTGGTTTGCTTATAGGTTCTAACAATGGTTTCTTTACTAACTTGCTGTGCTCTTTTTGTCTATACCTGTATCATCTGTGTGAACTTAATCATGCTTTATTGCTTTTAACTATTTGTGTAATGTAGGCTAACTGTGTAGATATTTCAAAGAAAGACAAGCGGGTCACAAGACGATGGAGAACAAAAAGTGTCAGCAAAGATACAAAAATACAACTACAGGTACAGATTTTACTTTTCCTTCATTCATGTTTTTTGTATATGTTTTAAGTACTAGTCTTTGTAGTTCAGTTCATGGAAGTTAGATTGAGAGAGCAGCTTAACTGCGTTAAAGTCAGTGCTTTTCAAACTGAGTTATTTAAAATAGCAGGAAATCTATTTATTTTTCTTATTCTGTCATAAGTGAAAAGAATTTAAAAGAAAGGTTAAAATTATAAAATATGGCTGCAAAGTGGCATTTTCATTCTCAATTATGGCCTTTGAACCATTAAAATATATTTTAACAAAAAGTCACCTTAAGAATCTAGACTAAAAATCTAATGGGTTGTAATGAACATTCATTTATACATACTGGATCTTAAAAGAGCCTTTCATGTGTCAGCTTTGTCCAAACTTTTATCTAATCAAGAAAAAGTGTAGTGGGTGTGAGAGATTAGAAATCAACAAACCTGTGTTCCAGTCTAATCACTGTGATTTTCTAGCAGTATAATTTTGTGCATTTCTGTTAAATTTTCTGAGCCTCCATTTGCTCCTGTGTAAAGTGATATAGTTAATTTAATGATCTCTGAATTCCCTTTCAACTCTAAAATTCTATGATTCTATAAAAATAGATATTATTGGGCCATCAACAATCACTTTAAAATCTGAACTAAAGTCTTAATAGCTCATAATAAATTTACTTGAAATTTAT